GGAGTAGGTCGAGACCTTTGGGGGTCGACGCCATGAAAAAATCATGACGTCGGGGGTCTGGGCAATCATCATCATCATCATCATCATCATCATCATCACCATCATCATCACTATTAGCATCGTCGCCATCATCATCATAATCCTCGCCATCAGCATCATCGTCTGTGCTTGCGAGCTCGTGGGGCGAGTGCGCGCGCGTGCGTGCGTCTATATGCAGTGCCAGACAGCAGGCACGCGCCCGAGCGCGCCCCGCGTCGCCGATGGCGCCCTCTCGGACAGGAGCCCGCGCGTTCCGTCCGCGACTGCGCCCGCGCGGGGGAGGGCCCACTCGCTCGCGGTGCCAGGGGCTACGCCGACGACGACGCCGACGACGACGATGCTGAAGTTGGCGACGGCGACGACGACGTCCAGAGTCCTCGCGAGGCTCCCCTTCGAGGTTTCCCTGGCACGCTTGCGGGTGGCTTCGGAGGCCCGTGGAGGTCCATGGAGGTTTCCAGGATACCTCGGAGTTTCTCTGGAGGCACCGACGACGATTGCGGCGACGCGGTCCCGAGGCCCCCGGAGCCTTCCCCGCGGAGGCCTCCACGGCGTGTTTTTGGACGTCCTCGAGGTCCCCGGAGGCTTCCCCAAAGGCTCAAGAATTCGCCCGTTGATTCTCGCGGATTCGTACAGGTTCTCATGGATTCTGTTGGGTTTCCAGCACAGGCCTGGCGCATCAGCTGCTATTCAATCAAGGGTTCGTGGCAGATTATTGCGGCTTCTCGCGGATACTCGCGGGCTCAGCTCTGTTGCGCGCCGCAATCAGGCCACGCGCGCGCAAAAGGGCCGCGAGAGCTGCGGGCGGCGATGACCGTGGCCGCCCGCGCGCTCCTGCAGGCGATTGTGTCCGCCTGTGGGCGCCGGGCAGTGCCTGCGGTCGTTCCACCAGGCGCGTGCGATCGCTTGTGGCAGCCTGGCGATGCCAGTCGGTGCCTCCGCGCCTGCGAGCGCCGTTGTGCTCCCCAACAGTGCCTCTGAGCGCGCTTTCGCGCCTGAAAACAACCGCGATCTAGCGCTTGTGGGCGCTTGTGAGCAACCGTCTGGATGTGGGGTTCGGCCGTCGTTGCTGGGCGTCCTTTCGCTACAATAAGTCGCTTCCCGTGTGTCCTCCCATGGCCTGTTATGGCCTCTGGCCCCGCTGGTCTTGGGCGCCCGGGTCGGCCGTTGCTGCTGGCCCCCCCGTGGCAGAGTCCATCATCCTTTAGCTTTATGTGGCTGTGCCTTCGCTGGTGCCTCGCCCGCCGCGGCCTTGCCCCCGTGGATTCTGACGGCTTCGCGTGCACTGTTCCGATCATGTATATTTTTTGGGCCAGCGCTCCGACCTTGAATTGTCTGCATAGAAAATTCAATAATAATTAGCCCCGCGCCAGAATCACAAGTGTGAAACCAGGTCAAATACCAGCTCCCGGCGAGCAGCATCAGTTCGTATCTTTGCGTTGGCGCAAAATCGTCGCCGACAACCCAGCTGGTTTAGTCGGGGGTCCTGGCCCCCCCCGCAACTCCGATTGTCATACTCTCCTCACCTGCGCGTACACATGCTTGCGGCTTTCAATGCCCTGCCGAAAAACGGCTCTCGCTTGGGCGTCTGCCGCACCCTGGCCCCTCCTAACAATACGAATTTCGAGTTCATCTCCCCCCCTGTCTCCCACCGACGTCTAGGGCCAAGACGCCTTGGGCCACGCGGAAAGACCAAAGAGGGCACTCATCGTGTCCTCTTCTTGTTTTCCACGCGGCCCCGTGATGACGACGACAATGACGACGACGACGACGACGACGTCGTCGTCGTCGTCGTCGTCATCCTCGTCGCCGTCGTCATCCTCGTCGTCCTCCTCGTCATCGTCGTCGTCGTCATCGTCAACCCTCGTGACTGTGCGAAGCTCGCGCCGTCCAGCGCGTCGCGGCCCCGCGGAACAAGACGACGGCCGCACGCCGACGGCGGCCCTGGCCAGGCACGCCCGTGGGCCCAAGACGGGTTTGGCCACGACCAGTGCTTGTGCTTCGTTGGCGTCCTCCGCCGTTGGCCGCGCAGCTCCTCCGCCGCGCTCACCGCGCCAGGGCGCGTTAGTGGTGGGTTTGTTTTCCACCGCCACCACCATAAGTAGGAGGGGGGCGTCCTCCTCTTTTTCCTCCTCCTCCTCCTCCTCCTCCTCCTCCTCCTCCTCCTCCTCCTCCCTCTCCTCATCCTCCTTTTCCTCATCGTCCACTTCCTTCCCCCCTCCGACTTGTGGTGGTGGTGGTGGTGGGAAAAAGGCCCATCCCCCCCCAGTCGGCTACCTTAAGGGGTGTGGTTGCGGGGGCTTTCATTCACCGCCGTTGGGGCTTGCGGGGGCACCACGTGCCCCTGGTTGGGCCGCCTTTGGGCGCGGCTGGGAGCTCTGTCGAGGTCCTCGCCCGCCCCGCAAGGTGCGGCTTGCAAACCACACCCTCTGCAACTACACCCATCGGAGCCGCTGGCTTCCAGTCTTCATCCTTCAGACCCTCGTGCTCGTGCTCATGTCTGCTCATGCGCGTGCTCTTTACGGCTCCTCATCCTTTTCTCCCCCCCCACGGATGGGTCCTCATTCGTCGTCGTTCCCCCCCGCCGTTTGTCTCCCTTGGACCTTTCTCCTCCGTCAGCCCGATGTCAGTGCGAGGGCGCTCGTGCGTAATCGGTGCTCGAGAGATGGTTGCCCGTTCGCCCGCTGATGCCTTCTGGACTTGGGTCGACGACCTCGCGACATTCTTGCTCCAGCGTCCACCACACGCTTCGCGCTGCGTCAAACGTAGACTGGGTCGATTATGGCCACCGTGAAACCTTTGGAGTATCCGAAAAGTCTTTTCGCGCATCCCCGCGGATCTCCAATCTCAAAAAAAATATCCCGGCGAGTCTCGAAAACATTTTCGCGCCTTGAAAATGTTCTGGCTCATCCCCAAAAATATTCGCGCCTTAATTTTTTTGTGAATTTCGAGAACATATTCGCACCCTTTTTGTCAATCTCCAACGAAATCTCCGCCAGAGATTTTCCAGAGATTTGCCTGCAATATCCGGCGATGTGCCGGAGATTTTTCAGAGATTATCAGGATATCTTGCACCCCAGAGTTTTGCCAGAGATTGCCCGGATACTCCCCAAACCCACAAACTCTGGCGAGCCCAAATATAACACGCCTGCATGAAAAACGGTCAGTCACTAACAAAGACACGCACAGGGCGTCTCTTTGTAAAAAATGGCGCGGTCCCTAAACCTGCTAGATTTACGAGCCTATGCCCCAAGCGGGAATCCGATAATGCGCTGCCGACGCTAAGGCTATAGCGGCTGTGATACCGAAAGTCGAGTTATCATGTGTGTGTATATATATATATATATATATATATATAGCTGCGCGGCTGTGATACTGAAAGTAGAGCTACATATAGCTGCTATGGTGATGGTGATAGTGGTGATGTTGATGATTATTTTAACTGCTCGCTAGGACTCTTGGGACTGTCAGGGGTCTTGGGACTTTGGGATTATTGGGGATCTTGGGGCTTTGGGGCTCTTGGGACTTTGGGAATTTTGAGGCTTTCAGGGATCTTGGGACCTGGGGACTCTTGGGGCGCTTGGGGCTTTGGGGGTCTTGGGCTCTTGGGACTCTGGGACTCTTGGGACTTTGGGGCTCTTGGGGCCTTGTGGGCCCTTGGGACTTGGGGACTCTTTGGACTTTTGGGGCTTTTGCAATATTGGGATATTTGCGTTCTTCGCTCTTGACTACACAAGTGCATGCGCATTTGTTGCCCGAGTTTCCTTTGCGCTCGCTCACTTTACTTCGCGGATCCTTGATGAGCTCGGGACAGATCCAGGTGCGCATGCCATTGATGCGGATTGATTTGGACGATCTTCCCGTCGGCTTTCAGCGGGACCAGGTCATTGATAGCAGGTTCCCAATCAAAACCGAGCTCCGGTCGAAGTCGAGGCTCGAGCTGGACGGAAAGCCCCCCGCGAAACAGGCCAAGGTGGAGGAGGCATTGTCGCCGCAAGACGAGAGCCTGAAGCCTGGCCCGAGCACGAGGGCAGCAGGACATGCAGCAGGAGTTGCAGCAGACGATGCAGCAGACGATGCAGCAGGAGATGCAGCAGGAGCTGCAGCAGGATATGCAGCAGGAGATGCAGCAGGAGATACAGCAGGAGGTGCAGCAGGCTCCGTTCACGGAGATGCAGCGGGAGCGGTTCACGGAGATGCAGCAGGAGATACAGTGGCCGAGTGCACCGCGACTGAGGTGAACTCGCAGCTCCTGTTCGGCTTCTCGCAGCCCCATCGACGGTTTCGCCATATATGATTGGATGTCACAGATTCCCAGCCGCCCGAGTGACAAGATACAATGATGGAGAATTGCTGATCTTCTCATGTGCGACATTGTTTGTTTCATTGGGGGGCGCTTGATTATGATGATTTGCATGTTTCATTCGGAGACGCTGGATTATGATGCTCCGTTCGTAGATGCTTCATTTTCATTCGGGCACGTTTTGTTATGATTCGGCGAGTTGTCGACTCGCGAATGCCCCCGCGGGCCGGCCTGATTCGAAGAAAACATAGAGATATGAGAGAGCATGCAATAAGACATGCCATGCAATCGTGGAAGCCACTCGCAAGCGGAAAACCAACAATATCGTACACACTAGCAGCTAGAGTACACTAACATACCATACGCATTGAGGTAATAATCAACAGCGTGTATCAAACGAGAGCAACATGATACGTCAACCACCAACGCACACATGAGATGCAAGTCCATGCTTCGAACTGCAACGGGACCCAAACAACTTTATATCAGACGCTGTACCATTGTAACACCAACAATAGCATAAACAAAACAATGGGTCACAGGAAAGCTATACTGCAACCGCGTGCATGTCGAACGACCGTTTTTAGCCACGAATGTGAAAACCCATGCACGTCGCAAGTCCACTGATGTTGACCCGTTAAACCTTGCGATTGCCCTCCAGAGCTTGCCGCGTTCAGTCGTTGGCCACGGTGGCAACGGCTTCTGCCCTAACATGGATTTCAAGCGGGTGCCGAGCTGGGCGAAAGCAAGCCAGTCGGTGGAATGCCTGTCCAATGTCGTTGAGCTCAGCAACGGCTTCAACGCGAAGCACGTCCACGTGCGAAAGGCTGCGGGTGAATTCCAGAAGGGTGCTGTCTTGGACTTGACTGCTGACCATCATCGCGCAGCTCCAGATTATCAAGTCTAAAGACAGGGGCCTGCCAACAGAATGGAGATCCAAATTCAGCGCCATGTTCGACAATTTTGTCGTGGACGCGCGGCCAAGCTCGCCCGCGCAAGCAGCCGTGGAGGACGTCGCCAACGTCGCGCTCGAGGACGACTCGGACTCGGGTGATGCGGTGCTCCTGGGCGACTACGACGCCGGTAGAGACGTGCTCTTCATGTCCAACGGCCCAAAGTTGAACGGCTTATTGTCGGGCTTCGAGGCGCGCATGCGCGCGGCGAGCAAACGGCCGGACCCCGAGTTCCACGCGGTGCTGAAGCCTGAGCCCTCGAAGACTCCGACCTCCACGTCTACGCGCGGGACAGCTACGCGCGCGACGCTTGAGGGCATGGAGGCCCCGGGCGCAGGCGCCGAGGACAACGGTCTCAGCCCCTCCGCGCGAGAGGAGTTCAACGCGCCCCTGAAGGGGGAGGCAAGGGGGAAGGCAAAGGAGAAGAAACAGGCGAAGCCAAAGAAGGCAATCTCGGTGAAGGCGATCGCCAAGTGCAAGGGGCCCAAACCTATGGGCGATTCCGTTCGAGCCCGCATCAGGAGGGAACGCAGCAAAGCATGCCATGGCGAGCGCGGGAAGTTGGAGGCGGCTGGCGCGCCCGTGGACGCTGCAAAAAAAGAAGGCGCTGGAGGTAGCTCGCAAGGCGTCTGCAGCCATGCGCGCGCGGCATGCTGATGGGGCGCCGGCGCTCTAGGGCGCAGCGCGTGCGTGGCCATGAGCGCGCGCGCCGCCGTGCGGATGAATTCAAGCTAACGCTCGCCCGCCTTTCGCTGGCAGTTGCGCTTGATATCGACCTCCCCTGGCGCGTGGTCGCGCGCGGCCCTGTTGCGAGCTGCGTTCGCAAGATCCCTAGTTAGATGCGCGCGCGCATGCCATGCGCGGCCGAACAAGCGTGCGCCAGGGCAGAGGTGCAGATGAGGCCATCCTCGCCCTCCTCACCTAATGCTCGCCCCCCCCCCCCCTCTCTCTCGCCGCCTCCCCCTCCCCTTCCGCCCGCCCCGTCCGTCCGTCCCCCCGCTGCTGCGCCCCTCCCTCGCACCCCCCCCCCCCCCCTGGGCCTCGACCTGCCAATGGGGCTGGGGGGCCAGCGAAACGCGCGACCCGAATGTGCAATGAGCTAAATTGCGAAAGAACAACGGCCTAAACAAGCTAAACCATTCACAATTTAGGTGCAGAAGTACACGGGCGAATATAAACCACAAGCATTCGCCGGGGAGACATGCAGGCACAGAACATAAGACAACCAAGAAGCAACGTAGACGCGCACCTAACTGCATCCAGGGCTAAACAGCGAGATGAACTAAGAACTACATGAACTAAACGAGCTGAGCGAACTTGGAAATATCGAGGCGTCGCAACCCTGGAAGGGCACTCAACTGAAGCATTGAAGGTGCCATGTGTTCTCGGGGCGCCTCCTGATGCGACAGGCCCAGAAGCTCACAACATGAAGCTACGTATTCAACTCAGCAGGGGTCGTCCAGATACCCCAAGGGTGGCAGCTCAGCTCGGGCTTGGGTGTCATGCTGGCCTAGACTAGAAATAACAATAGCAACAACAACAACGCAATCGACATCTTACTCCGTAGCCGTGCCAGATCCAACCGTCAAAGTCAGGGACATGGTTTGCCGAGAAGAGCACATTCGGCAGCTTCAGCTTGTAGCGCGCAGTTCGTTGATGAGAGTTGAACGCAGCAAATGCACCGATGCCCTCGTGAATGACATCGACCAGCTCTGCTGCGGCGCCGCGATCTTTCTCCCGGGGCTCGAGCGCGAGCGCGACAAGGACGACGACCCAGAGGGCGCAGCCACGGGCAATGAGGATTGGAAGCACGAGAAGCTCAGCAACGACTTCGCCAGGCGCGTTGTCCACGCCAGCCAGATCGTGGAGGCTGCAGGTGATGATCGCGATGCTGGTGCCTCTGTCGTAGCTGTAGATGACTCGCCTTGACACCGACGGGTCGCTCGCTCAGCAGTAGTTGCGAGCAGCTCGGCCAATGTTTAACGCGAGCAGTTCGGTCACGTTCGCGACGGTGCGATCAGACAAGCATCATGTCATTTGTTTGCGTGTAAAGTGTTTGTCAACTTCCTTCTGCTCCTCCTTCTCCGCCTCCTCGCCCTCATCGCCATATCTTACAGGGCCGCCCGTTCTCGTCGGACGATGACGGTACATGATGACGACGGCGCTGATGATGATGATGATGATGTCGACGACGGCGACGATGATGATGACGACGACCACCATCATCATCATGAAGGCACAGGCAAAATTGGACGACAACCTGGCTGCACTAAAGGACCCTCTAAGTGCAGCGAGGTATGCCCTGATTGCAAGCTGTGCAGATGATGATGCTGATGATGATGATGCTGATGATGATGGTGCTGTCGAGGATGATGATGGTGATGGCGCGGCGACAGCGACGATGATGCTGACGACGCTGGCGATGGTGACTGCCACGATGGTGATGGCGCAAGTCCTCGTCCTCCTCATCCTCCGTTTATTGCGCCCCCTGGTGGCGCATCAGCAAGTGCCCCCATCGCTTCCCCCCCCCCATCCCACGTGAGGCTTCCTCGCAGTTCACTCGCAGACCAGGATCCCGCTTGATACTTCCTCCATATCCAGGAACCATGAGCCAAACAGTGGCGACATTTACAAGGGTGGGGATGACCCGCTCGGATGGAAAAGATGAGGCGCGGGCCCCATGGGGAGGGGCCCCCGCCAGGGAATTCCTCGCCATTCACTCGCAGACGAAGCTCTCGCCTGATACTTCCCCGAAGTGCCCAAACGTTTCCAGTGTGTTCCACGATTTTCCATTGTTTCCCAGAATTCTCCAGACAAGACTATGCGCGTCGAATCCCAACAAAACCCATTGTGGAAATTAGCCTGGCGAAGGACCCAACTATATGCATATGTGAATACCGCAATTGCGAATGCCATTTTCGCCCGCGCCCCCCATGCGGCCACGGCTTCCCGCCGGAGCCCGACATGCTCAGGGACACGTTCGCGGCAGTCTTCGCGGGCGCCGGCGACGACAAGGGCGGCGCCCCTCTCACCGAGGAGCAGAAGCAGGAGAGGGCCCTGAGAGCCATGAGGGAGGAGGTGGCGTTGCACGTCGACAAGGCGGAGTACGACGCCCAGGCGCGGTTGCTGAAGCAGCACAACTATCTGGCCACGATCTTCGTGAGGGGTGTGCCGCAGTAACCCGGGGCCGACATGCGAACCCTGCCACTGGCGCCTTCGGTGGAGCTCCCTATGGGGCCACGATCCTCGTGAGGGGTGTGCCGAAATGGCCCGAGGCCGCCGTGCGAACGCTGCCACTGGCGCCTTCGGTGGAGCTCCCTATGGGGCCACGATCCTCGTGAGGGGTGTGCCGAAATGGCCCGAGGCCGCCGTGCGAACGCTGCCGCTGGGGCCTTCGGTGGAGCTCCCTAGGGGGCCACGATCCTCGTGAGAGGTGCGCCGAAATGGCTCGAGGCCGCCATGCGAACGCTGCCACTGGCGCCTTCGGTAGAGCTCCCTATGGGGCCACGATCCTCGTGGGGGGTGTGCCGACATGGCCCGGGGCCGCCATGCGAACGCTGCCGCTGGCGCCTTCGGTGGAGCTCCCTTATGGGGCCACGATCCTCGTGAGGGGTGTGCCGAAATGGCCCGGGGCCGCCGCGCGACCCCTGCCACTGGGGCCTTCGGTTGAGTTTCCTATGGGGCCGGGGTCCTCGTGAGGGGCGCGCCGAAATGGCCCGAGGCCGCCGTGCGAACGCTGCCGCTGGCGCCTTCGGTGGAGCTCCCTGTGGGGCCGCGATCCTCGTGAGGGGTGTGCCGAAATATCCCGAGGCCGCCGTGCGAACGCTGCCGCTGGCGCCTTCGGTCGAGCTCCCTATGGGGCCACGATCCTCGTGAGGGGTGTGCCGAAATGGCCCGAGGCCGCCGTGCGAACGCTGCCACTAGCGCCTTCGGTGGAGCTCCCTATGGGGCCACGACCCTCGTGAGGGGTGTGCCGAAATGGCCCGAGGCCGCCGTGCGAACGCTGCCGCTGGGGCCTTCGGTGGAGCTCCCTAGGGGGCCACGATCCTCGTGAGAGGTGTGCCGAAATGGCTCGAGGCCGCCATGCGAACGCTGCCACTGGCGCCTTCGGTAGAGCTCCCTATGGGGCCACGATCCTCGTGGGGGGTGTGCCGACATGGCCCAGGGCCGCCATGCGAACGCTGCCGCTGGCGCCTTCGGTGGAGCTCCCTTATGGGGCCACGATCCTCGTGAGGGGTGTGCCGAAATGGCCCGGGGCAGCCGCGCGACCCCTGCCACTGGGGCCGTCGGTTGAGTTTCCTATGGGGCCGGGGTCCTCGTGAGGGGCGCGCCGAAATGGCCCGAGGCCGCCATGCGAACGCTGCCGCTGGCGCCTTCGGTGGAGCTCCCTGTGGGGCCGCGATCCTCGTGAGGGGTGTGCCGAAATATCCCGAGGCCGCCGTGCGAACGCTGCCGCTGGCGCCTTCGGTGGAGCTCCCTATGGGGCCACAATCCTCGCGGGGTGCGCCGAAATGGCCCGGGGCCGCCGCGCGAACCCTGCCACTGGGGGCCTTCGGTGGGGCTTCCTTCTGGGGCCACGATCCTCGTGGGGGGTGCGCCGAAATGGCCCGGGGCCGCCGAGCGAACGCCGCCACTGGCGCCTTCGGTGGAGCTCCCTTATGGGGCCGCGATCCTCGTGAGGGGTATGCCGAAATGGCTCGAGGCCCTCATGCGAACGCTACCGCTGGAGCCTTCGGTGGAGCTCGCTATGGGGCCGCGATCCTCGTGGGGAGTGTGCCGAAATGGCCCGAGGCCCTCATGCCAACGCTGCCACTGGCGCCTTCGGTGGAGCCCCCTATGGGGCCACGAAACGTCGCACTGGGCGGGTGAAACGCAGGGGGGGGGGAGGGGGAGAAGGAGGAGGAGGAGGAGGAGGAGATGAGAGGAGGAAAGCGGGGCGACTTCTTTTCAAAACGAGGACACAACACCACAGGATGGTTGCGGAACAAAATGAAAATTCTAGGAGCTGTTTGATAGTTCGGTGAAATCCTGGAACGCAGCTGACATCGTTCTGAAACACGTTGGTCATCCTGAAGACGCGTGGTGGGATGACCCCCGAGGGTGCTTTGTCCCGATTCGTACGGCATACATCGGTTAAAGTTAGACTGCGCCTTGGGGGGGGCGAGCTCGGCCCCCGATCCCAGCGTTGCGATGGCGCCCAACCGCAAGAAGCCAGTCGGGAAGCTGGCGCCCCCGATCGCATCCGAGGCCGATCTGGCGAACGCCAGGGAGGCCCTAGCAGATGCTGCGAACAAGAAGAGGGCGAGCGGTAACTTGATGTACTGGCTGGAGAGCAATAGCAAAAACAGGCAGGTATTACGAAATGTCGCCTGCTGAGAGAAAGACGCAAGCACTTGCGTGGTGCGCTGAGAAGTGCTCGCCCGGCAACGCCGTTGAGTCGACCGCGCGGACAGTGACCCGCCAAGAGGAGTTAGGCGAATACTACGAGTGGATGAGCATGGAGAAGCGCAGCGCGAGCTCGGCGTCCACAAGACAGAGAACAAGCTCAAGCATTGGCATATCGAGCATCGCGCCGACGCCGACACAGGCATGGACGACGAACGGAGCAGGGAATGCAAGGCGCGGGCCGAGAAGGGCAGCAAGACCAACACGGGCAGGCTTCATAACAAGATCGGC